GAAGCCAACCAACCAACACCCCAAATCCAAGGGTGAAAATTTTATAAATGAGAATTCCCACAGAAATTCCCTCAGAAATCCACTCTGTCACCAGTGGGTATTTGCTAGATTGCAAGCTTTTAATGTTTCCTTGTAGAACAGCAGATACTCAGTTGTACTGAATACAGTTTCCTTAAATATCCTGTTAAGAAAAACTCTGTTCTTCCAATGTACTATCAGTGACTTGCTATTTGTTCACTGGAACAGGTTGCCCAGAGAAGCTGTGGATGCCCCATCCCTGGGAGTGTTCAAGGCCAGGCTGGATGAGGCTTTGAGCAACCTGGTCTAGTGGAAGGTGTCCCTGCCCATGGCAGGGAGTTTGGAACTAGATGGTCTTTAAGGTCCCTTCCAACCCAAACCGTTCTATGATTCTATGACATTTCATATGGAGTTGAATGTTACGCTTTCAGAAACACAGCCCGTCTTTTCTCTCATTTAAAGGAAATTATCTTTGTGCCTGTTGATGAAAGTGCAAAATACACTTCTTAATAAGCTTCTGTTTTGTATTACAGCAATGTCATCTTACCTGTAGAAACGTCATGACACACAGCAGCAGCATGGTGGATGTAAGCAAGTGGCCAATATTTACCTTGCTGTCACCTCAAGAAATAACATCTATTCGGAAAGCATGCGTGTTTGGCACGTCAGCCAACGAAGCTATATACATTACGCACAATGACGAGGTAAGGCTGGAACACAGTAGAACATGTACTCTACAATTAGGTGTTTTCAGAACCCACTGGATGCTTGTAAATTAATAGCTTCTCAGAAGCATTGTGTGAAATTTGTGTATTTCAACACGTCGGATATAACTTGTAATTTTTGGTTTTTTTTAGTCTTGTTTGGGAGCAATATAGATGGAGTATTTAGTAAACTAACAAATGACAAAGGCCAGGATGGATTGCATGCACCTTTGAAGACAGTCAGAATTCAAAGGAAGTTGTGGTAGCTTGAAATTAAGTGCAAGCACTCCAGGTAGGAAGATACAAAATGAGGTTATGGCTTGCTAAGTAACAGTGCAGTGGAAAATTATCTGTGGATTTGAATGAATCAGGAACTCAGTGCGGCTTAGCATTGTGCTGCTGAAGGGAAACAAGCCAGATGTAGTAGGATTTCTTTTCCGTAAGTCCTGTCAAAGCTGCCTGTAGGATCAGCCTCCTACAGTACAGCCATTGCTGCTCTTCACAACCTGCTTCTGGAAGAAGGTGGTGTCTTCCACTTTCACAATTAAACACTTTTTGTTGTACAGTTCGTGCCTAGCTTCCAGGCCTGCACAGGTCTGAAGAATTCAGACTCATCAGTTAAGTTCCAGAGTGTCCCCACACTGACTCTTGAGCTGGTTAACCTTGTGAGGGAAGAGTCCATGGCAAAACTCTCTCCTGGCTTCATGAAGACGTGGATATTACCACATCTGTGCATTCCTGAGTATAAATCACTTGAAAGGAATATTCTTCTGTTTTTCAGGTGTTTGTTTTTGGACTGAATTGCAGTAATTGCTTGGGAACTGGAGATAATCAGAGCACAATAGTACCAAAGAAATTAGAGGCCTTATGTGGAAAGAAGATTTCCAGTCTCAGTTATGGAAGTGGACCCCATATTGTACTTTGCACGGAAGGTAGAAAATTAACGTTTAATATAGAAACAGAAGTCACAGGTTTTAAGTTCCACTTGCACTTAATGAGACTGGATTAACGTGTAATTGTATTAGCTCATTTAACTGGGTAATGTACAGTAAGGGGTTCTTAGTGGTCTTCAGTAGTTTTCCCTTACACCTTCATTATGTTGCAACTGGAGTTTTACTCTATCAGTTATGATGTACTCAGTCTTACCTGTGCACGTCCATGTATTTCCACAATAAATCTAGAGTTTATACTGTCATGTACGTATATTAAATCATTGTATAAAAGTACATATTTTTTTACTATAAAGACAATTCTTGTAATAGTTAATGTCCTTTAACTTTTATGTTGGCATTTTCTAATTTCTTAGAATTTTACCTATCCTAACTTCCTTGGAATTTTTGGTGAGTTTTATCACAAACTTAAATTTCTTGCAGATGGTGAAGTGTATGCTTGGGGACATAATGGTTACAGCCAGCTTGGGAATGGCACAACCAATCAGGGTATTACTCCTGTTCAAGTTTGCACAAATCTGCTAATAAAGAAAGTGGTGGAAGTAGCTTGCGGCTCTCATCATTCCATGGCGCTGTCCTTTGATGGGGATGTAAGTTGAAACCTGTTCAAATCTCTTAATCTCCTTTTTGAAGTGAATAGTGCAGGTGAGCTTGCAGTCTGAAATTCCCTCTACACTGCAGTTAGACCATGACCTTTTCTCCTGCTGCCTCCAAGTGGGGTATCTTTTTCTTCAGAGCAGACTTGAAAACAGTTCAAACCCCATCCAACTCCCAAACCCAACCCCAAAAAACAAGGGAATAGAAGGCTAGTAAAACCTTTCTGTCTTCCATTTGTTGTGTCATGGGGATGAGACCAGAATGTTGTGCCACTTCCAGGTGAAGGAATGGATTGTAATGCGCAAAATGTAACTATTTGCTTGCAGTTCTGTTATTTTAAGGGGTATATTGAGTTGTTTTATTCACTGGTTAGTGTTTATGTCCAGCCAGCAATAAAAGACCACGCAGCTGCTTCTTTTCTCTTCCCCTTGTTGGGATGGGGAGGAGAGAATATAAGGAAAGGCCTGAGGGTCAAGACAAGGTCAGGGAGGGATCACTCGCCAGTCATGGTCACAGGCAAATCAGAGTCGACTTGAGGAAGAAAAATTAGTTTAACTTGTTACCAGTCAAATCCAAGTAGGATGATGACAGACAACACCAGATCTTAAAAACACCTTCTTCTGAGGCTCAGCTTCGCTCCCCATTTCTCTACCTCCTGCCCCCAATCAGTGCAGGGGGACGGGAGTTGTGGTCAGTCCATCACACATGGTCTCTGCCACTCCTTCCCCATGAGGGGGAGGACTCCTCACACTCTGCCCCTGCTCCAGCGTGGGGTCCCTCCCACAGGAGACAGTCCTCCATGAACTGCTCCCACATGAGTCCTTCCCATGGGCTGCAGTTTTCCAGGAACTGCTCCAGTGTGGGTCCCTTCCCATGGAGTGCAGACCTTCAGGAGCAGCCTGCTCTAGCCTGGGCTTCCCACAGAGTCACGGGCTCTTTGGGCACATCCCCCTGCTCCGGTGTGGGACTCTCCTCGGGCTGCACGGGGGTCTCTGCTCCCCCATGACCCTCCATGACTGCAGGGCACAGCCTGCCCTCACCACGGGCTGCAGGGGAACCTCTGCTCCAGCTCACCTCCTCCCCGCTGACCTGGGTGTCTGCCTGGGTGTCTCTCTCACATCCCACTCCTCTCCACTGCAGTTTTTTTGCAACAGGATTTCCCCCCTCTTAAATGCGTTATCCCAGAGGCGCTGCCACTGTCACCGGCTGGTTTGGCCTTGGCCACACAAGTACTGTGTAAGAATGCTGCTCTGCACGCCTCTGACTGAATGCCTTTGTGTGCAGCTGAGGAAAGGCACGTGGTTTATATCCGGGTCCGCTTTATGCGGTTTGTTTACATGGCTTAAGGCTACGTGTCATGGGAAACATGCACAGTTACTCTTCAGGTAGGCGGATTTGCCCACTGTGTGTGTCCTGGATTTGAGTTGCTTGTTACTGCATGGAGGAAAGCCTGGGTTCAGCTCTGCTTTAACAAAAGAAGGGTTCTAATTTTAAAGTGTTCCCAACAGTGAAAATGGAAACTACGATTCTTTTCATCCTGGTAATCTGAGCGTGTGTGGGTGGAGTCATAGTGAGACCACTTAGGGCCTGTAGTGACAGAACAAGGGGTAACGGGTTTAAATTGAAAGTGGGGAGGTTTAGATTCGATATCAGGAAAAAATTCTTCCCGGAGAGGGTGGTGAGGCACTGGCACAGGTTGCCCAGAGAAGCTGTGGATGCCCCATCCCTGGGACTGTTCAAGGCCAGGCTGGATGAGGCTTTGAGCAACCTGGTCTAGTGGAAGGTGTCCCTGCCCATGGCAGGGGGATTGGAACTGGATGGTCTTTAAGGTCCCTTCCAATCCAAACCGTTCTGTTCTACTATTCTACTAAAACCAGAGACAATAATAGAAAGCAGCAAGTCAGTATTTTGAGGGTAGGAAAGAGATGCTGGGTTATTTTAAGTGGTCTGTGCTGTATCTGAAAGGAGACCCTACGCTTGGGAAAGATCTTCGTGCTGTCACATTTGACTTGGTTAAGCTATAAAAGGTGGCATGCGTGCAGGAAGGAGCGGGTGTTTGTGTATTCGTTAAGCTAGTGGTGCCAGCTGCTGTGTGGACCTGCCAGTGATGGCCGTGCTGTCTCTTGTAATAAATGTAGCGTGCTTGAAATCTGGATGGAAGCGGGGAGTTCTTCGTATTTACCATGGGGTTGGCCTTTGCAGCTTGCTCGCTGTTGGGGCTAGTAAACGTCCTATAAATCCATCCCTAGCGTGCCTTGCAGTAGGTTAGTCTGTTTGTGCTCTGAGCTTTCATCTGTATCAGAATTAATTATACTGAATGCAGTGAAATGTGTTAAGTAGCATTTTAATTACATAAAGATTTGGCTGCAAAAACCCCTTTGACCTCGATATATCCAGAGTTTCAGAGAGGCATTGAAGTTGGAAATACTCATGGAAATACTTGGCATCACTGCTTTGTACAGTTGGTTCAGTGCAATTTTAATGCAGTGCAAATTAGGAAAAAAAGTATTTTAATGATAGATTTAAAGGACTGCAGACATTCATGCTTCTCTCAGACAGGAACCTGATTACCTCTTTGGCATTTTGAGCTACCTTCTGAGATTCTCTACCTCAATTATTTTCTGTGTTACTGAAATCAGGATGTTTTCATAGAGTGTGTTCAAATCTTCCGTAGGAATTAAAGATCCAGCAAATAGAAGTAACAAAAAGCAAAGCAAATACTTTCTTTTTGTTCATCTTCTATATGGTACACGAGTTGTGTTGGTGGGAGGTTTTTTGTTCCTATCTTCGGTGGTGGAGGGTGTGTTTTATACAGGGTTTTTGGGTTTTTTTGGTGGTGGCCGGGTTTTTGTTTCTAATGACTGACTTAAAGATTGGGTGTCACAGTAAACAAGTGGCTTCTGGCACCAAAGGATGCGCAGACTGCTTGCACATGAGGGTATCTGTCAGTGTGCCTTTCCTGGCTGGCATGGCTGTGGCTGGGTTTTTCCAAGAGGACAAACTTTTTAACTGGGTGAAGCACCAGGGAATGAACCATCAGAAGTAGTTTAATGCCAAGCTGTGGGCAGATAATAAAAATTGAAGGAAAAGGAAAATATAAAGCTATAAATATTTTTACTTAAACTAGTTCCCTGTCTTCTGGACTTTCAGATGAAAGGAACCAAAACCTTTGTTTTTATTATTAGTTTGACACTGGAAAATGAACTGTCAGAGACGGTGCTTTTTTGTTAATGCCATTGTGTAAGAGAGATTTGCTCCTGTGGAACATGGGCTGACAAAACCATCTGCTTTTACACACAGCTCTTCAAAGATATAAAAGAGGTGTGATGAGTGTCCAGCAATAACCTGGTTTAGAGTTCTGTGAAGAAAACTAAATAGCTGTGAATTGGGGAGTTCAGCTTGTGTGGGAAACAGATGGCATTCTGTTTTGCATTCCTTTTTCTGACATCATGGAAGTGTCAAGACTCACTCTGCTTTTTGGTTTATAGTCTGACTGATATTAAATGTGGAAATATGTTCCTTTTGTTTTCTGTCGTGGTCAGATGCTTCAATTCTGTAGCAGGAAGCTGAAAAAAGTGCTACGTTCGTATTTGCTAGATCAGTGCTATTGTTATTTGTCCTTTTCAGTTGCTGAAAATTAATTTAAAGGAAAAAATCACCCAATCTGATGCTGCCTACGGTAAGATTATCTCTTATTGCTATCGTTATTGTTAAGGCTTGAACTGCATGTGTTTTTGTTTTTATGGCCAGCTGTACGCTTGGGGCTATAATAACTGTGGTCAAGTCGGATCTGGATCGACAGCAAACCAGCCAACTCCTCGGAGAGTTTCAAACTGTTTACAGGGTAAAATGGTAGTCGGCATTGCTTGCGGGCAGACCTCCTCCATGGCCGTAGTAAACAACGGTGAGGTAAGTGTCGCTGCGTTCTCACGTTCTCTCCGTTACCTGAGCGTAGGAGGTTAATGTCTGAACGTGGGGAAATGCTGACGTGGGGTGCCTAAGCTGGAGTTGGGTTGATAGAATCTGTGAGAGGAGTTTAAGGAGAAGGCTGCAATGAACTGGAGATGCTCTCTTCATGCTCAACGTTCCTTCTTACGGCAAAGACCGTATCGGAACGTAATTCTTACCGAGCCTGCAACTACAGGAATTTGAACAGTGATATTAAGCATGTCTGTTTTCCATATTCCAATAGATGGTTTAACATCTGGTTTATTGTTGCAAACGAGTGGTTTAGGCCACTTAGAAGATCACCGTCGCGGATATTAGAAAGGAAAGCGATTTTAATGTGAAGCTGTGAAAAGGCGACTAACGGAATTCGATGGCGAGCTCCACTCTAGTACTTACTTAGCACTGAAAAAGCAGACAGAGGTGAACTCAGTTTAGCACCGGGTGAGAGTGTTTTACACAGGGGTCAGGGAAAAGGTTTTACACATGGTCAGAATCAGGTTGGTGGCGTTTATATAATAAGTATGAGGGAAAGAAGGTAAGGGAGACCGTCCCTTTGGGTTGCAAGATTCAGCATGGACCCCCTTGCTTTCTGATCTCCTCGGAGAGGAGTCTGGGTGCAGCTGAATCCACTCCTTGTCCTGACTTGACTCACAGTTCATGTCTAAGGGGGTAGGTGTAGGGATGACAGTGTGGTGATTTTGTGCTTTGTATAATTTTTTTTGGCAATCTGAGGTAGAATAGCAGTAATTTAAGGTTATTAACACTAACTATAAATCGGAAGATTCGATTAGGTAAATTAATTATCAATGAATCAACATAGCAGCTTAATTAAAGGGTTAACAAAGCTGCCGAAGTCGAATTGCATGCACACACGCTGCTAGGTCATAGATTTGGATGTAGGGATGGATACATACATATGCAAAGCTACCTGTTAAAATTTCCCCGAGTTCAGTGAAAATATTCCCATCGGACATCTTTGCATCACTCAATGGGTGTAGAGTTGTACCTCAAAGAGCGAGGTTTCAGCCCAAGTGACATCAGTCGTCCTCCACGGCTTCACCAACTTGAGCGTTTGCAAGCTGTGAGCGGCGTTGCACTCAGAGGGAGGTGCTGGGTGCAGCCTCCTGGGCTCAGGAGAGCTCAGGGGGCCTCACTTGGGCCTGCTGTTTATGGGGTTGTGAGTTGATTGACTTTAGGCACCAGTAAGTTTCCATTTTGGGCCACAACTCAGGTTGGAGTGTCAGTAATTGCCGGTACCTACTTGCCTGAGTTTCAGTGTGTTTCAGGGCTGTCAGGGAATGATTAGTTATTCCATTCTTATTCACCACTGTGGCCAGATGGTTGAATTCCTGGTACACAAAATGGTCAGGCAACCGAATTCCTGGGACGGTTAATGCTGTTCCCCACCGTAGCCGCACAAGACTGGTATGGTCGAGGGACACTTAACCACCAGAACTTGCTGCACCCTGGCCAAGGCTTGACAGGGATTTCTTAGGCTGTAGAGCAACCCAGGAGCTGGGGGTGTGGGAAATACACTACCACACTTTATTTAGATTTTTTGAAAACGTACACAATTAAATAGTTAATATTTCTGCAAAAATACGCAGGCTGATCCTGGCTCTTAAACACGTTGCTTAATTGCCAGCAGTCAAAAACCAAACCAAGCTTTTGCACATTGCAACTGTTCCATTTCACACAAGTTTATGCTGTTACCTTGCTTCTAGGTATGAATTGTAACCTCAGTTTTACTACATGTCACCATACTCGGAGCATAGTGTTAATTTGTGACTGGAGGGACTGTAGAAGTCCCTGAGGTTGAGATGAGCTGTCATGGTACATACTCTTGTCCTGATGTGTCCACCATAACAAAACTAAAGGGAAAATTAGAGCTAAACTGGGGACTTCAGATTAAACTGATCCAATAGCTAGTCAGCTTATCAGAATAAGTAATTCCTTGTTTTCTTTAAAAACAAAAAGTAATAAGGAGAAAAGAAGGTGTAAAAGTCAACTAAAATATTGATGGATGCTATGGGAGAGATTTCAATGTATTTAAAAGGTAAATGCAGGATCGAAAAGTTGAATGCAGTCAGACATTGCAGTATATTTAGTATCTTTCAGCCAGTATCTAAATTGCATTGGAAATAGTGTACAGTTTTTTAATAAGATGTCCTTTTCTGACTTGTGCGTGACACGAAGTCTTAAATGTTCTATGCTCCTACAGAGAAGTGGCTTGATGTTGCTTTCCTTTTGCAATCAGGTTTATGGCTGGGGTTACAACGGTAACGGTCAGCTGGGTCTTGGAAACAACGGCAATCAGCTAACACCATGCAGGGTGGCAGCGTTACATGGTGTGTGCGTACTCCAGGTATGTCTGACGTGGAAAGGAAAATGCACCTAGCATTTTGGAATCTTATACCTGCTTCTAGATGTCACAGTTCAAATACTGATTTTTTTAAAAAAATTCCTATAAATTGTATTAGGCTTAAAGCCTAAAAAAATTATGGTATGGTTATAGAATCACAGAATGGTTTGGGTTGGAAGGGACCTTAAAGACCATCCAGTTCCAACCCCCCTGCCATGGGCAGGGACACCTTCCACTAGACCAGGTTGCTCAAAGCCTCATCCAGCCTGGCCTTGAACACTCCCAGGGATGAGGCATCCACAGCTTCTCTGGGCAACCTGTTCCGGTGCCTCACCACCCTCTCCATGAAGAACTTTTTCCTGATAGCTAATCTAAACCTGCCCGCTTTCAATTTAAACCCATTACCCCTTGTCCTGTAGGCCCCCTTCAAATTGCATCTTTGTTACAGAGCTGAATGAATGAAGTGCATGAGGCAAGAAATGAAGGCGACTTAGACATTCAAATTAGGTTCAACATCCATATTCTAATTAGCCCTTGAAAAGTGAGGAGAGAGGGAAAACGACTCATGGGGTTGGGTTTGATTGTTTGGTGGTTGGGTTTTATTTGTTCGTTTGTTTTTCTTTTCCCCAGCTAAAGAATAAAACTGAAAAGTGGGATTTCCCAGGTTTTTAGCAAGGTTTTGTGGAGTTACACGTGATAACTTGGGTTGAAGGGTTGTTGGCAGTTAAACTGCAGCTCTCAGTTTGTGTAGTATTTAAAATGTCAAATTCTGAAAGTATTTCAGAGTTGCAAGCCGTGATGAAGAAGCTGGCTGTTCTTCGTGTGAAGAGTCTGCAGCTGAAAGCAAGTAAGGGCTAGGGAGACTTTGCAAGGGCACAGTAAATTATTGAGGAGTAATGAATGAAGCTGAGACTTTTCAGTACCTACAGTTAACGTATTTTAGTGTACTGAGACATAACACATTGTAGGGCTAAGTGAAGAACGCCTGAGGTATTTGTCATCAGCTAGACTGAGGTGACGTGTGGGACGATTTTGTTTCTCGCCTCTGTTTTGTCAAGTAGTAACGCTTATACGTTTACTTACAGATTGCCTGTGGCTACGCGCACACGCTAGCACTAACAGACGAGGGTTTGCTCTATGCCTGGGGAGCTAACACTTACGGGCAGCTGGGAACTGGCAATAAAAGTAACCAGCTAAGCCCCGTGCAGATCATGATGGAAAAAGAAAGGTAATCTTGCTGAAGCTGTTTGTGGGTTGATAAGTCTGAGCACGTGTTACGCAGCCTCTGGAAGCACGCGTGTTTAGGGCCTGGTGGGTTGTTTTCCTGGGGCTAATGTTAAAAGTGTAGGAAAGGATGATACTGAATGTTTCCTATAGACTGAGTGCTTTTTGCTATCTGGAGTATTGGAAGCAAATGTACTTTGTACTTACCTGATACTGAAAAATAATAAGTATTAGCTATTCTAAATATGGTTCCTTTTATTAAAAATGTGGAGCTATGAAATCCATGAAAACAGAACTCAGTTTGCAAGGTGGCTAGAGCTAAGGGCAGATAATACCGCTGTCAGTGGTACCAGTCAGTAGTTGTGGTGTCTTAGCTTCCTAGGCTCATAAAAGAATAGCTCTAACCATTGTCCACCTTCTTTCAGCACCCTTGCCATCCTTGTGGCTGGGAGGGCTCTTCTGCTCTTCACCCACACACCGCCCCGGTCTCTGGACCCATGTGTATACCTGTAGATTAACGTACCTCAGTTTGGAAACCTCTTAGTCTATAAATCCCTTAACCTGTAAAGCTCTTAACGTGTAATCTCCTCTTAACTAGGAGACACTTGGGTTGGTTTTTCTCCTCCATTTCTGAACTCCTTCTGGGAAGTCAGTCCTATTTTTTCCCGTTTGTCATGCTCAATGTTAAATTAAAAGCTGCGCAGTACTGAGATTATTCAAGAGCTTAAAAAATGGAGGGAGGGGGAAGAAGAAAGGAATCGTCATGATAGAAACCACTGAGGCGTGGCTGGCTTGTCTGCGAAGGAACTGACACTAGTGAAGCAAAATGAAATATTCTTAAAAAAAAAAAAAAGCCCTGGAAGAGAAATGAGTCTGGTTGCAAACAGATCAGCTTTGTTTTCTTAATGATTTATTTCTTGAGTGAACTGAGAGGAACTGTTGCATTTAGAATTGTATGTGAACTCAAGCATGGGATTCTAATAACACTGGGGTTTGTTCAAAGACTGAAGGAGGGAGAAAAGATCATAGAGCATCTGCTTGGAATCTAAGGGAGCCAGAAGTCACTTGAACTTACTCATCTTGCTTGACTTGGCTCCCTTGGAAACAGTGCTGGAAGTGGGTGAGCTGTCATTCGCTATGAAGCGTACTGCTGCTGCTTTTCCTGGTCCCTTCTTTTATGTAACTCTTCTGCCACTTTATGTAACGCTGGTGACAGTTCCTTAGGAGGTGGCGTCGGTGCTGTCTTGGAGAATACTGCACGTGCAGCTTGGAAGGAACTTTTAGACTTTGTGTTAGGTTGGAGGAACAGTTATGAAGGTCGGCTTCCTGAACTTTTATGTCCAGTAAGAGCTTAACATGTTATCCTGTACCTGTACTGTACATGTGCTTATACTGTGCTGCTTAAGTACAGTAGAGTTCTCTAAAAAATTAGAGAAAAATCCTCCAATTACTCTAAAAATAAGAATCTCTTCTAAGGAAAGGAAGTTTGGGGAAGGAAGGCGTTTAAGCGGGTAGCTACGATGGACAATAAGCTGTCCTTAAAATAACTACTTTATGATGTCTCAAGCAAAAGTGCTGGAAGATCTCAGTGTTGCCTAGAAGTTCCTAAGCTGATGATGGTGTAAAACAACCCATTAGTCTCCTACCTGCCAGAATTATCGATATGTGCACTTACCGAAAGTGATTGCAGATTCTTTCTGTGTTTTATCTTGACCTACTTTTGCACTTAAAATGTGGCTTTTGTGCTGAAAAAGCTTTTTGTCTAAAAGGCCGACTCTTCATGGATATTGATCCGTGAAGGAATAAATATTTTGATGAATATATTCTTAGACTGCTTGGAAAGACGTATTTGTCCCAGTTGATCTGATTCTGGCACAAAAGCATGAAAACCTTTGATGCATTTTTAGGATGGAGGATAAAGAGGAAAGCGTAGCGTGCATTTCGAACCAACGCTGGAACCTGCTGATCACATGGACAGAGACACTGGCAAGGCCCTTGCGGTCCTTTTGGTGGAAGGGCGATTCTTCTCTGTTCTTGTCACGTTTCAGATGGCAAGAGTAGGGATTGCGTGAGCAATAGGAGAATGGAGTAGGTGAGGGTGCATCAGCAGCCTGAATATTTTAGGGAAGTATGTGAAGTGGGCCAAAATAATGTATACATTTTATTTTAAAACCCACCATAGCTCTTCAAGAATGTGGACTTAAGTGTGTGTATTCACCTCCTCAAACACACTGTCCATGTTTGATGCTGAACCTTGGTGTTGAAGATAGGGAACTAACAGCAAAATAAGAAGTCAGAAATACAGGTCAGATCTCTGTCTGCATATGAAACTACAGATTAAAGGCAGGGTAGAAGGGTTTCTTAATAAAGGATTTATTGAAAAGTACATAGGATCTGAATCTAAAAATGAATTTTTTCAACATCTGTTTGAAAGAAGTTCTAAAAAGTGCCCTGCCAAAATCTTAGCGTAGTATCACGTTTCTACCTCTTCCCTGACTGGAATTTTCAAAAGCTCCATAAACAGTTCTTCCTGAGAATGTCTGATGTGTATTGGTTTTCAAGGGGAAGAACAAAGCTTTGATTCGTTCCATTTCCTGTGGTTATGTAAGAAAAAGAGGGATGTGACGAAAGTGACATAATTAGAGCGATATCTGATTACAGTAAAATTTACAAGCAGTCTGGAAGTGACCCTGCAGTGTTAAAATACCGATCCATTCAGACAGTATCATATTTGTGCAGGACAAAGAAAGAAGCACTGGAGAGTGGATGCATAGTTCGGTTGGCTGTTATTTTGGTGAGGCGTTTTGGAAAGTCACTTGTTTCTGTGTCTTACAGTACCTTACAAGATTTCTTCTGTTTGCAGGGTTGTGGAGATCGCAGCCTGCCACTCCGCTCACACGTCAGCTGCCAAGACCCAGAGCGGCCAGGTGTACATGTGGGGCCAGTGCCGTGGGCAGTCGGTGATCCTCCCCCACCTCACTCACTTTGCCTGCACTGACGACGTCTTTGCTTGCTTCGCCACCCCTGCCGTCATGTGGCGTCTCCTGTCAGTAGGTGAGAGCAAGCTGCGGTATGGCAGCCGGTGCTGTGATCGCTGTGTCCATTTATAGTGATCACTACAGGATACCCCTCCCGTGGCAGGATGGTTCCTGCTTGAAGGAGAACCAGCACGTAAAACTAGCTCTTTTAGCTAGGAGTTTTTTTCCTTCTAAAGAAAACAGTCTGCTTCAGCAGCTAAGGACCCAGAGTAGGGTTGGCAGGGTGGTTTATTTGCCAGCATGCGTCTGGAGAGAACCCTGGTTTACCACGGCACTGTGAAGATTGTGTATTCCCTACATTTGTGATGTTTGAGCTCCGGACTGGGAAGGACCCCATGATCATTAAACATAACTTTTTTTCTCTTAAAACTATCCCTACTTGGAAAACGGCCCCTGACACTTGTTACTCTGGTATCTAACAACTGGGAACTGTGAGTGTTGTCTCTAGCTTTTCCTCCTTAGTATTTACCCTTCCGGTATGAACACGAAGGAGCAGATCTCTCGCCTCCGTTTCCTGTTAGGAAAGTCAAGTCACAGACTTGTAAGTAACAGTCCCTGCGTTACGAGGCCCTGACGGAATTGCTCTCGCTGTTGGAACTCTCTTCTAACACTGCCTTGGACTACGCTTTGGGATGCAGCCTCTGGGACCAACAAATAAGCCCGAGCCTTTCTTTTTGATGAGCTTTGGGTCACATGCTGCTAATGGTTATTTGACCTCAAAGGTGCTATGAAGGAGGGATCACATCCTGGGTAACCTCGCTCCAGACTCAGGCTTTATCTTTCCATGTGACTTGCCCTAACCCAGCTTCTCCATCTTAACTTCTCATTTAGCAAGTTTACCCCATTTACAGTGGTCCAGGTAACAGCATCTCGTCT